TGCAGAGAGTGGTAAGGGGCCAGGCAAACTGGACGTTGGGGGCGACGCTCCTATTCGACGAAGCTAGCTTTCTGGCCGGCTTACCTTACCCGGTCCCCGAAGGTGCAGCAGGCCTGCCAGCCAATCCAATTGGCTGGTGCTGTCACCCTATAAGTGGTCTGTGCTCTCACCCTCTCACTGGTCGACCTCAGCCGACAATGACCCACTCATGTTGATGGCCTAGTTTCATTCCACGTGAGACTGCGCCAGCGGACCTTTGTAGACATTTCCTCTTGAGCTCAGCTCTTCATCGTCAAAGTCCACTCTCACCCGGCCGTTTCTTGCTTTTCCTTCCTTCGAGGCGGTAAGGCTTTATCCAACCACCTCTCGCCGGCGACAGCCTGGCCCTTCAGCTCCCGTTCCAGACCTTAGCCACTCACTGCGTACCGAGTCTTAACTTTCCTGTCACCAAGATGGGTAGCATCCCGAGCGCTCACGGAGGAGCCATCTAAAAATGGACTCGAGACTACCTACCCGTAGGACTACGTGATATGCATGTCCAAGCCCCTGTCGCAGTCCCGACGACGATGCGACCGGCAGATCGTGGTCTTAACCGCGAAACATGGCAGACCGCCGCATCGCGAAATGGCCCCGTCGGAAGGAACACTTGGCCGCAGCCGAAGTGCTGATTACTGATACCTCTCGAATTGAGGCAGCCAAAACCTTTACGGATAGACGTTTGGTAATGAGGTACCGTATCCTCTCGTTAAATTTGCCCACCTCCACTCTGCAAGCTAACGGCAAAGGGGAAAGCGGTTGCTCACGGAGCTAAACCTATCATAGAAAGCGGTCAACCTGCTCACCCATCCACCCACTTGCCCACTTGCCCTTTATTTACTGTTCTTACGCCTTAACTTCCTGCTGACGTAAATGACTAACCCCTACTTTTGCCTTTCTAGATCCCTGTTTCTGCCAGCACGCTAGCCCTTATTTGGCGGTCTCGATGCCCCTTGCCGTTAGCTTGCAAAGTGGAGGTGGGCAAATTTAACGAGAGGATACGGTACCGTATTCTTCCTCCCTGCCTGCATCTCCCGTCATGGGTGCTTTGTCTCTCTTGCTTCAAGACTCTAGTTTTGCTTTTTCTCTTTCTCTCCCGATGTCCTCCTTGCTCAACTCCTGGTGTGCGAGGTGTACCTAGTAAGAACGCACGCACCCCCATGCGTGGTTCCAACACTGCTGCCAAGCCAAAATATCTCCTGCACTCAAAGGGAACGAACCCTCGAGAGGCACAAAGCACCCCACTTTTAACCTTCCGATCGATCTTCCGCGCCAGGAGCCGGTGGCAATTCCCCATCGATGTAGACTGCATACAGGTACGTGAATCATGAGTTTTCTTGACGAAGTAAAAAAAGAACCATAAAGAGGATTCTAGCATGCAATAAGCAATATATAGAGCCCGGAGCGGGACCATGTGCAAGCCGGCTGCCCTTCCGCCAGGATGTCTCTATACGGTGCTGGCCGCGGACCACACCATCTTCCCATCATCCTAGAGCCCAGTTCCCGTATGCAGGCCAAAGAAGCAAGCGCACCGGCATGAGCCCCCTGTGGCAGTCGACTAGTCGTCTTCCATCATGTTCGTGCCATCGCCCAAACCCCATTCCTGACAGGTGGGCCCTTGTCTGAGACCCCAGTCAGCGTAACCCTTCACCCCCCACTCAAGACCCTTTTGGGTTGAAGACATGGCAGAAAAAGAAAGACATCAGAATACAGCAACCCGTTGTATGGTTCTTGAGACCGATCCGGTACTCGTACAAAAGTTCCCGCAGGACGCCAATCCCCGCATGCTGTATAGTGATCCTCCCTTGCAGGAAAGAATATACGGTAATCACCTCGGGCCCGCCAAAGAATCGGTCTCGATGTACCCTGATTGGATGCCAGAGAGGCGCTTGATTGCTGCCAGCGATCCGGCAAGCTCATGCACACAACGAGAGAGTGCATTCCCCACCAGCAGCAATGCCAGTTTGGCAGCCGTGTCGTGGTGCAGACGCTAAAAGCAGCTTGGCCTCCCGTCAAAACGCAACCAAACAATTACTCGGCCCACTCATTGGCCGTCCCGCATGCTTGACATAGGTACCGTATCCTCTCAGCAGATTCGTACACCGCACAGACCACCCGCTAGGCCAATTTCGAAAGGCGGTCAGCCAGCCTAGCCACCCACCTAGCCATCTAACCCTAACCCTTGCCACCAAACTTGCTGCTGACGTTGACTAACCCTTGCATTTGCCACTTCTAGATCCCTGTTTCTGCCAGCCTGCTAGCCCCTATCCAGCAGCCCGTGGTCAGTGCGGTGTACGAATCTACTGAGAGGATACGGTAAAGGCTTTGTAGCTCTTGGCCTGTACACAGTACTCGACGACTACCTACCTTGGCTCTCGATAAAACTGCCGCTACCATCTGAAGCCGCCCTCGCCAGGCCCCGGCATCTGCGGTGCACTGGCCACCCTTACGTACGAGCTGCCTGTTCGATCCATCGGTCAGCTTTCCCACTGGCCAGATATTCACTGACCGGAATCCACAATCGTCTAATAAATCGTAATCCCTTCACCATTGATCCTTGACACCGATGTTTGCTCTGCCCAGTTCTTGCTTTTCGACCAAACCCGAGCATGTGTATTGCGATATTGTTTGCGATGTGGATCAGGGTCCGTCGTCACACGTGCGTCTTCATGCATTGCGTCCCTCAAGCGAAGAAGAAATCTTAGTCTGCAAATAGAAGTAGCGATTGCTCTTCTATGTTTCGTAGAGGTGTTCTGTCACATAGGTACTCGGGAGCCAGTCAGTCAGGATGGTCATGTCTTTTTCAGGTAGATCTGAAAGTGGTACCAGTAGTAGTAGGTAGTGATGGTAGTGGTGGTGGCCACTGGCTGATCAAGCTCGACCAGGTGAAAGTTCAGGCATATACGTATAGCTACTCCCTGTCCTCGTATTGTACCTAGGTTTCCGCAGCTCCAAGCCTTGGTACTCACTCAGGTGGCCAACCGTCTAGCGTTCGGGTGGCCCAGATTCTGAAGAAAGAAAAGAAAAGGAAAGAAAAAAGGATGAAAGAGGGTGTCTTGAAGGCCATCTTTCGCGGCATGGTTGCCGCACACCGGTGTCTTGAACCCGCCCAATCAGAGGCTCGACTATCTGACCGGTCTGCCTTACTTGCAGATTTCCAGCGCCATGGTCGTGTGATCTAGAAATGTCTATAGCCCAAGCCACGCGATTGGCTGGTAGGCAGTGATCTCAAGATGTCTCGAACGCAGCTTTTGCAACATCGGTTCAGCTGCCATCTGATCATGGCGAGACCGCTCATTCAATGGCCAGCACCAGCTCAGTAGTAGACTAGAGACACGATATAATATGATAAGGACTATTCGTCTTGCATTGCGTGCCAACGCCGGCCTGATGTCCCTACCAATAATGTATATGCTTTTCCCCGCCGGTTTCTACAGTTAAAACTCCTCTAGACTCCGAGATTTTCTGACACTGACAAAAAAAGGCAAGGACTCTTTTGCTGTAACAGGGGTACCGGAGTGCGGTGAGGGAAAGGGATAAATAAGAAAGCATGGCTCCATGCCAGGAGTCCGTGCCCTCAGGATTAAGCAATGTAAGTCCAGGTAATGCAACCATGACGCCTCAACTCCCGTTTTGCATGGCTTTTTAGCATAACAGTGAAGAAAAAACACATCCAGTCAGTTGGGATATTTTCTCAAAGGAAAGAAAGCGTCGGGCATTGGCTCCAGGTGCCAAACGCGGTCAGCAGGCTTCTCGAAAGCGTCGAACCACTCGCGTTTTAGCTCAGGAGGTATGGACCAGCCAAGTCTGTCGTTGCGCACACGCATCCGAATGAGATGACGCTTCTCAGCGGGGCCCTGGCCATTGGCGAACGCCTCACGACGGTGAAGAATGGCCAAATTGTTGACAAAGTGAATGTCGCCAGCTCGAGTCTGGATCTCCATTTGGGTTGCCTTGGCAATGCTCTCGATGGCGTCAAGAGCCTCGACTTGGCGAGGCGTCAATGATGGGAAATGAGCGGGCCTCGGGTGGGCCGAGTTCCCCATCAGGGGAGTACGTCCAAAGTTGACAATAATCTTCCCATCATGGTGGAAGAGAATTGGGCGACATTGGAACTTGGGTCTGGACCGCAGTTAGCAAGCAATGCCATTGTCTTGCACCAGGCACAGAACCACGATAGAGTAATGGATATACTTACAAGGCAAAGGGCCAGTCTGAGCGGGACAGGGTACGGATGATATCTGGTCGAGTGGCTGCGAGCACGTTGTAGACGGTATGAGCAGAGGCAATGATGCATTTGCCACCAGTCGCAGCAGTACTCCGGGTCAACCAGCTAACCACATCGCCTGATTCCTCGTTGTGGAAGGTCTGGAGCCAAGTCAGTCGGTGGTATGGCTCGGAGCAACGGACAGGATCCTTACAATGGCTGAAGTTGAATGGCGATGGTGATCAGCCTTGACTTGGCTTGTGTTGTCGGCAACGATGTGGACTGTGAGTCAGAGTCAGCAAGTTCGCTCAGACCATGTATCAGTCACATACCAAGCATGTTTCCCTTCTTGTCCTGACGGCCATGCTGGTTGGCAATGTACCCTTGAATACCAAGATACAGTGTCGTAAGATCCTCGACCGAGTGCTTCTGCGGATCAATGCCACGGACCACAGCGAAGCCCTTACCGTGATGAACATCACTGGCAATACGATCTAGGGTAACGCCAAGGCTGGGAAGAGGAAAGTTGTCCTTGTTGACAAGATCACCGTCGAGGCCCAGTGCTGGATGCGTATCCAGAGTCAGATGTTGTTGTTGTAAAGCTGAGGCTGTACATACCTTTGAAGTGCTTGAGGGCAACCACCAGCTCCTTGTGGTCCGCATTAGTGAGGTAGTAGGTGTATTGCGATTCCTTGGTGAATTGCGGGCCAGTCCAGGCTGATTCGTCGACCACTGTCTCGGGAAACCCAGTGGGGAGACCGGGGACGTCCGCGACTGGAGCGTGGTATTCCGTGTGATGGATGTGGTGGGCAGCAAGTGCCGTGGCAGCACCCACGACCGGACCAACAGCACTAGGCGCCATCTTTCTGATGTGAGAACTGAAATCAGACTTGTCAGAAGATAAGCACAGCCAAAAGGAGCAAGCTTGGACAAGGGCAGGCGAACCTGTAAATGTTGGTTGAAGAATTGTTCGTCTGCCGTGCGGCGTCAGATGTAGAGGGGGGGGAGGATGTCTGTCCGTATAAAGAGCTTCGAATCAGGTCGAGGCTTAGAACGAAGCCTTGAGAAGAGCTACGCTGTGACCGGGTAGATGTGTGCTTGTAGGCGTGCGGAGATGGGGTCGATCTGGGCAACGCTGTGTGTGTGCGGAAGAGACAGACCTGTGCAACGTGTTGAAGAAAAGACGAGAGAATAATGAGGGAGAAGAGGTCGTAGATGGGAGAAGACACGGTTGGGGGAGAGAACTCGAGACTATGTCATGATCAGGCACATGCCTAATATATCCGTAGACAGGTAGGTACAAGGGCAGTCGGTGAAGAAAGAGACTGTAGCAGGAAAGTACAAGGGGCCAGGGACGATACGGTGGCAAGGAATGGAAAGGGACAACGGGCAGGTACAGACAGGAAACGAATTGGAAGGGTGTCGCTGGTTGTATGGGACCCTTGAGTTAGGTAGTTACCCGCGTTGCACCTGCTTGCGTAGGGGCTCGATGGTGACGAAGTTGATTCGGTACGAGGAAACAGCAGGCGAGGCGCGGCGCGGTTCCGTAGATACTTTTAATTCTCCCGTGGAGTAATTCACCCTTCCCGTCGATGGCTTGATGCGGGAGAGCGGTAAGAGCAGCAATTGGCAGGTGAGCCAGGCCGTTGTTATGATGTGACTGGGGGGGGAAGGAGATGAGGTGATGTGTAAGGTCGCCGTCAACACAGCTTTAAGTCATGGGGACACAGTCGCGACAAGGAGAAGAAGAAACGACAGTGATTTGGAGGAGAACAAAGCATGGAAGGGAGATTGTGACGGAGCTACCTGACATCAGGTAAGGCATGTGCAAGATGAGAAAGAAAGAAAAAAAGAAGGAAAAAAAAAGTATGGGAAATAAAAATAAAGGAACAGGCAAGGCAAGGCAAGGCAAGGTAAGGTAAGGTGAAGCAGCGCATAGCAGGTAAACCTGGAAAGCGCCACATGGGAATAGGAAGACGACGTAAAAATAAAATAAAAATATTAATAAAAAAAAAAGGAGGAGAGAGAGAGAGACAGAGATAGAGAGAGAGAGAGGTCTGAGGTAGGCAGTGTAGCAGCAGGGAAAAAGGTACACGTCGCCGCCTTCCTACCTTTTGCTATCCTCCTCGCCTTACACATGAATGGTGCCTGCCGACCGACATGTGCTGCACGCGATGCCGTGGGTGTTTCCAAAGCGGATGCGAGGATGGGGAAAGGAAGAAGAAAGAAAGGAAGAAAGAAAAATGGGGATTGGCAAACTGCCTTTCCCCGACTCCATACCTACACTACTACGGTACTCTGCCCGGCTCCTTGCAATACCTTGTAGTGACCAGTCTGTGGCGCGGCACTGTACTTGTTCATACAGACAACGGCCGATGGGAGGATGTCGTCTCGAGGTGACCATCCAAACGACCTGGCGCGACGACATGAGATGACACACCCTCAGTCTTTCGCCGGGTACCTGCGAAGAAGAAGAAACCATATGAAAGGCGGTATTATGGGAGGGCCCGGACTGAGCTGAGCCGTGGACCAGCTGAACGTGGTGTGGCGGGCAAACTAGAACGAGCATACGTATCCGTCCCGGGACCATATAGCTTCGCTTTAGCCATATCTTACTCTTGTCTTCTCGCCTTGTCTGCTCCTTCTTGAAACGGGAGGTGGAATACGAATAAGGGTTGGGTGGATGGATTACTGCTGCAAAAACCAAGCGGGTTGTTGTTGGTTTACTCCTGTGCGGCGGCGGGGGCTCGAATGGGCCGGAGAAACGGGGTGATAGAAGAGGAGTTCCCGCCCAAGCGAGGAGGGGTAGGAGGGTGGACGGGGCCAAACAACAACCGTACGCTTCGTTTGAGCTGCCATGAGGAAGGCCAGTCTTCGTGACCTTGAGCTTGTGTCGAGGGATGAATAACGATGGCAAAGGACGCAGGAAACCGATGAAAAGGAGATGTGCATGCAGCACATGGTTGCAAAGTTTGCAACTCTCGCAGAGCAGATCAGAGCAGACGGAATCCAGATCCGACCACTTAGCCCAATCCCACATGCCGCCACCATTTTCTGTCTGCATACATATGCATGTATGTGGTGCGTGCACCTTATGCGACCATACTAAGTACGCACGTAAAGGGCCTGTTGGAAGGCTCAGGAAGCGGCAGCCAGCCAGGGAGTCGACCAAGATGCATGGGGAAAATAAAACCGACAATCTTTCGATGCCGTTGCAGGGCAAGCAACTTGTTGCGGAACTCGTGGCGCCTAATCGGCCGCTGAGACCAATGGGGCATTGACGGGGCATTGATGGGACCGGAATGATGTGGTGCGTGGTGCTGTAGAATGAGGGTGTGGGCGGGCGGGCAACCGGACACTTCCATGCAGATATGAGCTCCCAGATGGTGGATAGGGCGAGGGATTGGCATTGTAGCAAACAAGGCCGCCAGTGGATGAACCTGAATCACCAACACCAACGGGAGGGAATGGCAGGATGGCGGTGGGGAAAAGGGCGTGCGGCCAGAGACGATGTCAATGACGCCACAAGAGTAGAACCACGTTTTGTGGTAGCCGCCTCCAACACCTGGTCGATCGGCAGATGGAGGAGCCCTGAGCTTTTGTTGCTCCTCGTGTAACGAGAGCCATGACAAAACACCAGGGGCGGTGGCGGGTGCTCGGGAGCACTGGGAAACGGCAAAAGCAGCCTGGCTGACAGCGTTCGTCTTTCGTAGGCCGTAGGCCGGGCATTGTAGTCCACGTGTACGCCCCGAGGACATGATCGGGGACGAAGACCGATCCGATCTGTACGTGTGCTTCGTGTTGCCCGTTGGGACAACTTGCGATCGCCGGGGCAAAAGAGTGGGTAACGTACGGCTATCTGAAGCTGAGGCCCACTTTGCTTCGCAGACAGATACCAGTTCAATCGGCCCTGCTGCTGTTGGTCGCGCTGCTTGTCAACTCATGTCCGATCCCGAGAGACCGAAGGAGACGACGGGCATCTATTGTGAGCATGGGCGGATCGCAAATGGGTGTGGGGGACTCGGAAGGTCTGCAGGGGTTTGGAATGAAAGAATGGAAAGTGGACAGTAGATGATGGAATTGCCCATTGCGGGTGACTCAGACGCTGCACGAACAAGCTAGCGGTTCCAAGTGGGCTATTCGCACTTGGCTTCCGGGTCAGGCCAAAAGGAAGCGCGCGCGCGCGTGTGTGCGTGTGCGTGTGTGTGTGTGTGTGTCTAGGCTATCCATGCTCGGAACGTGGAGTTGGCAGCATGGGCAACGTAAGTTGTGTCTGGAAAGAAAAGCAATGAAGATATTCCCAGGATGCTTCCGCCGCAAATTTCGTCTTGTCAGCTGTACACTGTACGTAGTGGGACGGAGCTGGTGCCAGGAAAAAGAAAAAAAGAAAACAATCCGGCTTGAACGGGAACGAAGAACCGGCCAGTAAAGAGGGGAGAGCGGAGAGGAGGATCAACCCAGTATCCCCGTCTTCGAACCTAGATGAGGCCGAGTCTGCCGGCGAAGAGGGCAAAGTGAGGTAGAACGTCCGTTGTGGCTCGCATACTACCTACTACCTACCTAGGTACCAGATGCACCTGCTCATTATTATTTCGCATCATCATAACCCAAGTTGAATATGCAGGTAGCCGAGGAGCAGGCGAGCGGGAAAGGCGAGCCGTAGCCCCTGTCACCGGTGATGGGGCCAGTCGCAATCCGTTCCGGCCGCAGCTACCTACACTGAACTAGGTAATTAGGCGCCTTCCTAGATTGGTGGTTCGTTCACTACAGTAACGCGCTTTCCATGTGAGGGAGGACCCTTGCACGACTATCCCCAGCGACTTCCTGGTCGGGACGCTCGTGTGGGTCCCGAGAAAGGGAGATAGAGTGGGTCTATTTGGGTACGTATCGCCCAGCTTCGGGCTGGGGCCCCACCACTCCCAATCGAATCGAACCTCACCTCATGTCGCCCGCGGCGCTCTGCTGAACCTCGACGACCAAGGACAGGTACTGCAACGCGCGACCTTACAAATGTGATGCAACGCGATGCGACTCAGGTTTGCGCAGATACCCAGGTGTCCATCCGTACCGGTGAGCCAAATTGTCCACCTAGCCAAGACTCGGACGGCAGCGTTGGACGAACAGTAGATGGACCCCGAAAGGTGTAATTATCTTTCGAGGTTTGTGCTTGTTGTGCGCCAGCCCTGGCATCGGTCTTTCCTTTTTGGTTCTCTATGTTTTCTAAGTTGTGACCAGCGCTCATTTGACTGTCAAGGTTACCGCTCAAAACGGTGACCATCAAGCGCAGTCGGGGGTTGTTTTGAACTCGCAAACGACGAATAAACATGTTAGACCGGATATCCTCCATACTCCAACCCTTAGTCTAGTTTACATGTCTAGGTAGAAAATTCGGACGGACCGCAACATGCCATGGCTCCCCATTCCCGCTCCCCAATACCCCATCTTTCCAATACATAAAAAATAAAAATAAAACCCTTCCTTGAGACATAGTGTACATTCCGATGATCGATCGTTCTTCTCAATCGTCAGTCGGCCGAAACACATTCCCATGTCTAGCAGAGCCATAGACGCACACACGACAAATGCCGCAAGGTGTGTCCCTATCTACCGTCTGGGTTCTGTTCCTATCTGAGATGGGAATTAGCTTTTCTTTGACAGCACTGGCCCGGCCCGCGAACCAGAGCTGCAGATGAAATCTGATTGAAAGGTGGGGCTGCATTCGCCGGTGAAGGATTTCTACGAATAGAACCGCGCCGGCTCCACACCTCTGACCGAAGACCTGTCTAAACTAGGTACGATACAAGGACGTCTGTGGGACCTTGTCAAACGGCGCACATGGTTGTTGATCGACAGATCCCAGCTCACAAACACGCCCCGCGCCGTTGAGACAATGCCTCCATACTTTGGGAGTGGAATGCTGGCCTTAAGTGTGAAGACATGCACAAACCTTGAGCCCGGTGGATAGAAGAATCAACAGAATGAATGGCTTCTGATGCGAACATCGCCAAGCTAGGGGGTGATCCGACATGGGTTCTGTTTAGTCTACCCCTCCTGAGATGGGATGTATACTGTGTATCTCGGTCATCCCGACGTTCGGCTTCGCACTTCGCATACAGCAGTTGCACAAATCGACCAACTGGACATGCAGGTCGCAGACGTACATCTCGGCTGCTGCAATGCGCATCGGCGGGAAACAGGCATACCAAACAAGTTGACTACACAACAGACTATACCATGGCAACAATCAACACTTTTCCACCCATGCTCATTCTCACCGCTTCGTCATAATCGTCAACCTCGTGGCCATCCCCGCCTCGGCTCACCAGAAGCCTTCGGTCGTGTCCCTCAAAAGAAAAAGTTGCCGGAATGCGTCCTGCCGTACCTCTGTGAAACAAGCAGGCCCCGGTGAGCCTATAGAGAGGAAGTCTTGGACAAACCAAGAGAATATGTAGAAAACAAGGCTACCTGCTTGACAGAAATGTAGAAGAAGGAAGAAAAGAAAAAGGGAAGAGAACTCCGATTCCCATGCCAGAACCTCCGAAGCCACTTACTCGTCTTTTCATGGCCCGCCCGCATTGCGCCTCTGCACGTCGCTAATGGTGCATCCCTGCACTCCCAAAACAATGATCCAAATGGAAAGTATCGCCACCCCCCTCTACCCCCCCGACGCATTTCCTCCGCCAACTGCGACTTCGACTAATATGCCCACATTTGGGGCTGCCAATCCCGCTGGAAGAGTTGGCTGACAAAAAAGTATGGTTGCTCGTACTGATTGGCCTGCTGGACCTCTTCCCACTCATGCTCTGTTATTAACGCATTAGCCACTGATCCCATGAGGTGGCCCGCTCGTCACTGCCAACCGAAGGGAGACTATCAGAACCAGCCATCTCCCTGCACGCCAAAGGACTCCGAGGGGTGGAAGGGCAGCTTCATCTTGGCTGCAAGGGGAATGAGTGTTGCCACTTACTGTGAGCCATGGCCTGAGACCGTGTCCAGTGGATGAATTGTACCGCGTCTTCGTCCAGCTGCGCCAGCGTTCGTAGATCTTGGTCTCTGCACTCTTCGGAAAATGGGTAGACTCCTTTATTGCAGTAGTGGAAATACGCCAGGAGAATAGTGCCTCCTGTCCGTCAATCTTTCGTCAGCATGTCTTACTCAACAGAATGAAAAACGAACGAAGATGGGCCACCGTGACAGATAAAACTTCGCGCCGGCCCGCTGTTCTCCTTACCCAGGTGATACTCTTGAACGTCCAACTCCCGAGCAAACTTTTTCTACAGCAAATGCAACATCGACGGTTAGCAACGTCTTCCTGGCCTGGCGGGTGCCTGCAGGTAGTCTGATTAGAGTCACTTACACCCATGCCGTGCTTCTGTGCGTATGAGGCATCATGTTCCGTAACGAGCGCAATGTTGTGCAGCAGCATAAAAGTCACCAGGTATGTGGTCAGCCACGTCTTCTGCTTGTTCTGGAGCGTCATCTTCTGCAGTTTCTCCAGCATTTCTCGCCGAAGTCTGGCCTGTATGTGCTGGATGAGAACCAAGTCCAACTGAGCTCCCATTACTGGCGGGAGAGGAATACGTCCATGTTGAGGGCTGCTGCTGTCGAGTATGTCGCGGCTCATGCCGAGCGTCTCCTCGCCTACAATCTCGACTGACTTGGTCGTTAGGCGTACCGCCATCCAGAGCTCCAGGGTTTGAACTAAAAGGTCCCGTTCATCTGGCGGCGTGCTGACGCTCTGCGACAATTCCCAGGCTTTGAGATACGTATTGTAGATCAGCTGGTCTCGGACACCCATCTGTACACTCATTACACTCTCAATGACTGATTTGAAGCAGCCAACGACGCCTCTCTTTATGTAGTCTTCGTAGGCTGCCTGTGCCTCGTCGAGGTTCGTGATGGCGTATGCAGGAATCGCGACTGACTTCTTGACGCCTTTAGCGACCCAAGTTCGCTCCAGCTTGTCACCAGGTTGCGGGATAAACTTTCGCACGTGCAATTGCACGCACATGTCGACCGGCGTATATCCTTCCCACAGGCGGACCGTCTTCACCTCATTCGACGCCCAATTATTGATGTTGTCTACGATGCCGTTGCCCCAGCGCCGTGTCCACTCGTAGCCAGGCGCCTGACCTCGTTTGAAGAAGTTGCATTCTGTGATCTTGCGACGCACGCATGGCTGTCGGAAGAGTTGCTTGTGGTGATTGTTTGTTGTTTTCGGCTTGCACCCAACACATGGACCCTTCGGGTCGTCTGGGTCAGTTTTACACTAATCTCATCAGCAACTGTACAGAGGTGCGCCCGATCTACAGGGAGCTCCACGCCGCTTACCCGGACTCGTTGCATTTTACAGCGGATGCAAGACCCATTCTTTCTCGTTACAGCCGTCTCTTCCCGTGCCTTTTGGTCTTTGAAAGGGCCGCGTTTGGAAGCTGGTGGTCGCTGGTGAGGGAACACGACGTCGAGGCTATTGCTATGGGCAGATATGTCCGCATCCTCGGTTTTGACGCACGGCATTGCATAGGTGGGAGCCAACGCAAAGCTGGTCGCCCTTGCGGGGATGGATGAAGTAGGAGAAACCGCACAAGTCACAGTCATGCCCATCATGCTGTCGTCGTATGGGCCTGGCATGCCTTCTCTTGTAGGAATATGACGATCGGTGTTACCAAGATTGGGGAAGTTGATGGGATCACCACCTGGGATACCTGAGGTGTCAGGATAGTACACGGACGTCGATACGTCAACCGGATAGACTACGGAGTCATGTCCGGAGTTCTGGGGTGCCATTGTATGACTGGGACTCTCTTGTAGAGGTTGGTATTGTGGCGCGTACGTGCTCACCATTCCAGTATCTGCGACGGGGAAAGGATTTGATACACTGGGGGCGATTGCAGGAGGGACATATACTTCTGGCTCAGAGATTTGCGTAGAGGGTGGTTTTTCAACCTCGTACGGCCTATTGAGGCTGGTCCCGTAGTTGTAGCCGTTCGCCTCGGTTCCGGAGAGCGGCTCGTAAACTGCAAGACACGTTAATCAAACGACTCGGGAGCGGCTTGGCCATCCACAGTAATACATACCACCATTGGAAACGCCGCAAGGATTCCAGCAGCTCCGGCACATGACCAGTGCCATGGTCTGTAGTCCTTCGGTCAATCCGTTGAGACCCGGACCTTGAAAGCCCGGAGGTAGTTGCTGGGGACCAATACCGTCGAAGACATGGTGACTGTGGTGTCCAACAGGTCGGGACTTATCTTCAAACTCCGGAGAAAGGGAGCCGTCTTGGTAGTGAGGCGACATGGAGTAAGATTGCATAAGCCTTTGTCTCTTGGGGTTGTACTGGCTTTGCAACAAGTTGTGTGAGAGTAGTTGGTGAAGTTGAGCACCAGGGAGATCGTAAAGTGTCGCGACTTGTGAGATGAGGAATTGAGTTTCGGGCGAGAGGTTAGAGAAGTTAGGGTCGAGAAATAGAGAGAATGACGGGTTCTGCTGGGATGCCAGCACTGTGATAGAGTCGTCCTTGGGGCAGGTAGCCCGGCGCTTCCTGGGGTTATTATTCTAAGACGAAATCAATTCACCGCACATTCAGGAAGGGGGGAATAGGGCAGACGGGGGAGGGGGCTGATCAGCAAATATGAACAAGCCGGGGCCAACGAAGATATGAGGGGACGATGTGTGTGTCATGGAGCGGGTGGTGGACGGCAGCTGGGCGCGAGGGATAATGGGGAAGATCGGTGATATATCCCCATGTACGCTGCCGCCAGCCGGGAAGCAGGGACATCTCTTACCATGATTGATGCAATAAGAGAGGGTGTGTTGGACAAAGCCTAATAGCAAGACCAAGTACCACAATCTGTGGCATGTATGAAGTATGCGGCAGAGACAGGCAGTAAAGCAGGAGTGAGCGAGCAGGTACAGCAAAGCACAAGGGGAGCGTTGAAAATTGCGCCTCACCGGGAGGGGGTGGGGGAGCTACGGTCTCACAAGAGCCATTGCCACATAATGGCACCCCTTGTGCGCGAGTGGAGTACGGGAGAGAGGGCAAGGTAGGGGAACCGAGAGGAGGTTGATGACTCGGCCAGGACCAAAAGGCGGAGTGAAGAACAAGCCAGTGTAGGTAGGAAGCAGAGGAGTGGAAATGAAAGTAGGGTAGGGAGTCAAGCTAGAATGGGGCCGTGAAGAGAGACAGAGAGGCCCTGCTTGACAGCAGACACTCGGCCGAAACTGCGGGGAGGGGGAGGCGGAAGGGGAGGGGAGAACCAAAGGAAGAGACGGCAACACTGCGTGCGTCTGTGGGTTTGGATATGTCGCTCTCCTTTTTTTTTTTTTCTTTCTCTCTCTCTTAGAGAGAGGGAGGGGGGTTTGCTCCTGCTGCTGCCTCACTTTCTAGCTTTCTAGAAATCTGCGTCGATTATCTTGGTGATTTGCTGATGTCGCAGACGGTCGCTCTTGCCCGTAGTCTGGTGCTGCTCGTCTCGATGTTTTTCCCGCCCGGCGCGGTTTTGAGGCGCTATCGCTCTCGTTGTTGCCTTGTGCGATGTCTCTGGCAGTGGAGCACAGCGTTGCGCGCGCGTTGACAGGCCAAGATCAGAGAGCGTGCCGATAGAGACTCTATTGCTGGCGATTGGCGTAGCCTGTGCTGGTCGGTCAGTCTGTCGAAGGAGTCGAGGCTGGAATGAGAAGACTCGGTGAGAGGAAGTTGAGGAAGGGGGCTGCACCCGTGCTGAATTGTATTTCACCGGTCTGAGGGGTACTCTTGAGAGGACAGGGATTCTTGAGACCGCGCCACGCGAGAAGAGGAGCCCAGCATCTTCCCGCCCCTGCCGAGTGGATGGATTTCAGGCTGTCCGTCTGATGGGAACAGACCGACAGGGGTGGTGGGAAAGATGCCATGGTACCCGGATGTGGTGACTTCTGCTAATCATCATTCTGCTTCTCTGTTCCGTCTTTCCTTGTGTAACCAACAGCCGCTGTATACTTCGTCTGCAGGGCAAAGGAGCAGTCATGTTGCTTGATCCACTGATGCTCCCTCTGCCTGTTTATTCCTCAAGACGGTTAACGGTTGTGTCGCTTCTGGCTATTGCACACCTCGCGCACTGTAGTCGGTTGATTTCGGGAAGCGGAAGGCTGACCAAGGCTATCTTTGGAATCTATACTTACTTATTGGTGAAGCGTCATCATTGATACCATGCAGGAGACGACGTGATCAAAGACTGGGAATCATCATAATCCCGCCCCGCTTACGTGTGCTGTGCAACCAATACGCTGAGGCAGCCAACCACCGGCTCACCCACTTTCTCGCATCTGACCCCCAAGCTTCTCGACGTTCCATCGGAAAGCGCCACGGTCCCGAAGGTCTGACACCCGTCCTACCAGCCTGCTTACTCACCCGTGGTATTTCGCCTGCGGGGTCAAGACGAAGTAGATGTCTGAGGAAATCAGGGATAGCTGCGTTGCTCAGCTCCTTTGGGGAGGTACATCTGTCTTCATCCAGAGGCTGCCACTGCTCATCCGTAAGACCACACCCAAGGGATATTGTCCATGTGTCGGTCAGGATACGATGCCCTCTCATACCGGCTACGTGTCAGTACCGGTACAGCCAAGATGGATACGATGAAGATTCCCAGAAGGAAAACAGTACTTCTCCTTCTTCTCGAAACCGGGGTCGGTCGGCTGGTTCTCACTCATCTGTTGATTGGCTCAAAACAACCGTCATCTGTCGGTCCATCAGTCAGTCGACAGTGCTACTGTGCACATATGATTGGGAGGAATTACCGGTAGCATCTTCAACCCTTGACAACAACGTAGCCGCTCAGCTCCAGGAACCGGGTGAACATCCATCGCCACCAACACCTGCCACAACTGCCTAATCCGACATGGCCTGTCAGCAGTACTAGGACGACTTTTGGGTGTGCCGTCAACGGGCCTGCCGGTCATGAGAAAGTGAAGCTTGCAGGATATGTCCTAGCCGCCCCATGTTTGCCTACAGGCCCTTGACCGCCCTTAGAGTCCCCACACCCCCTGCCTGAACTTTGTGTGTAGTACCCCATGGCGGACGGTCGCTGGACCGCAAGGGGACCCCATTACCGAAAGGTGATCCAGAAACCTGGAGAAGAAATTATGGCATTATGACCGGTCCACTCGCAGCAGGGAACACTGCATTAGTGGTCCAGGAAGGCATAGCCATTCCCAAGAAATCGCATGTGCCGACCTAGCAACAGGCGAGAGGATGCAGGCTACTGTGCTGTACGAATCAGTAGCCCGGCAGAACGCAAACTTTTTATCTTCCCCCCTCCTCTTCCATCTTGGAAAAATATGTCGGTCAACGAATTCGGCCATTTCTCTGACAATGATATACAAGGGCGTCTGTCGAACGCATACCCTGCAGGGGCGACCGCCGCTGCCGCCAATGACGACTGCCTAAGTCGACGCAGCTGATGAGATCAGGGAGTCATCCACCGACGGCCTCTTACCAAATTATCGTACAACGTTTCTCTGCAGCCGCTCGCGTTGAGCAAGTGAGGCGGTGGCCATCGAGCGGGATCCCTGAACCGGGCCTCGATGTTTGTCGGATGCACAGGTTCATCTCGCTGGCGGATACGGTTTTGGCTTGCAAGCAAACTTTCAGGAGCGAGACCCCGGAAGGCCGATGATGTGGTGGGACGAAGGAGACGGTAGCTGACTTAAGCTCAAAAAGGCGACCGGTGAGCTGGGAGCCTCCTCGTATGTGGGTAGCTACACGTTACTCAACGGGCCCAAGGCCATCGGAGGGCTTGAATGACGATATCGTCCGTGCACATACGCGCTAATTGATGCGTGGCCCACTTCCGTTAGCATGTGCGAAGAAGTACGGAGTAGGGAAGGTCGCTTGCCAGGAGAGCGAGTGAGCAGCTGACAAAATCCGAATCGATGAATCTTTGGCGATATGCCTAGTCTTCTTCCATTTGGCACTCATCACAACTAGCCCGACAATTCTGCTTGTAGTTTGGATCGATACAAGGGCGGCCACCAAGGTAATAGTGCCTGCGGTGCCCAAACTGTTTTTGCTCTGGGGTCGCGGTCCACAAAAAAGACAAGCGGTCGTCTTAGGCACTATGCAAACAGGCATCGACAGAGCCTACGGGCAGGGAAGAGAGCCTGGAGCCTAAGGCTTTCAGTCAGTAATCTTCCGCGGGCGTCTGCTTGGGTCGATTTAACCTACCTGTCCATCCGTCCGGTGTCTCGTAAGTTTACTTGGTACACTTGCATAGACCGGTGGTTACGGAAGGAGTTCCGTTGCTCTAGTCTTAGCGGAACAAGGTAATCCTTGCACGTCAGTTGAGCCAAAGTGGCCGGGCGGATGTGAAAGCCGGGTACCAGCATCGGCTATAGAGTGCATGTACCCATCCGGTGAGGATGAGGGTCCGAGACTGCCGCCAGGCTCCAGCAGCCAGCTTGCGTACGAGTGGCGGGAAGACAGTGGCTCTTGTGGTTGGCAAATAACCATTTGTCTACTTGGATTTGGCGAAAGCAGGAAAGCCGAAGCCTGCACTACGGCCAGCTGCACAGGCTCCGGGGAGCAGCAGCTTCTTGCCGAGATGCAGAGCATCCTCGGCGTCTGGACTTGTTCTGGCGGAATATTGAGGGTGGGTGCAAGGGTTGTACCTGCGCCGCCGGCCGGGCGTGAAGGCGGCGGGAACTCATCAAGTCACTCCAGCGTGCGGTGGCGATACGTGGTGTTTCCAAGCTCGCAGAGGATGGAGATGCAACCCCCCAACGACTGTGCGGTCGGCACTGGCTAGAGCAATTCGAGGAAAGGTGTACCCCCACAGAATCTGCGAGTCAATACGAAGGGGCCAATGAGTGTTTTGTTAGACAGGCGCCATGCAGCGAGGAAACAGTGACTGGATGATCCCGTGTCCGCAAGGTTTGGCAGAGTAGAAGGCGAGGCCGCGGGTTGCGCATGTAGACATTCCGAGTGTCTGTAGCCTGTTAAGGTGTGAAGGGCGATTGCCTACCTGCCTAGGTAAGGTATGCGAAGACCAGTGCAGTGGCAGCAAAAGGAAAAGGCCCGAAGTCCAGGTCCGGGAAGGAAAGTGAGTTTCCTTCCCCCACCTTCCTCGTCTTTCCGTGCCGATTCCGTCACGTGGAGTGCATCCCCGGTTCCGGATCCTGTGGCCCGGATGCAGTGTCAAAGCTTCCAGTGACAGCGCGAAGGCACAATGAGACGGGAGGAGACGCAATAAGTTCGTGCGTCGTTAGCGCGCGGGTATCAACGACGTGGAAGGCAAAATTGTTCCTGGCACTTGGATCCGACGACGAAATGCCCCCCCTTTAGCTAAGACAACTAGATATGTATGGCTCGGGAACCTGGAATCCTAAGGGGCAGGAAGGTGTGGAGGATGGGCACCTTCCCGCAATTTCGAAAAGCGCATTGGAGGGCGGCCCAGGTATGCTAGTTTACGTGCGGCTGTAACATGTCGGGAGGATCTCAAGGTACCTAGGTCGGTAGCAAATGATATACGACTGGTCAGGATGGCAGCTAAGTACCTACCGGTATGTAGGCGGGTAGGCAGGTAGGTACCTAGGTAGTTTGCAAAGGTACGTTCCTTCTCAATGAGACGCTGGATAAGGAGGGATGGCGCGTCCCGTCCCTTCCTGTTCCTCCTGTTTACTTCCTCCGTCTTTACATACACCAGTAGGGCGCAGTCCATCTCACCGACGAAGGGGCCAGTAAGCATGATTGGCCATGTCTGAATGCCTTGCCCTACCCCTCTGGAGTTGAGCGACCAAGAACGGGCCATGACATGACCGATTCCCGGTTCACCGGTTGACATGGCTTATTTGGCGATAACGTACCAACCGACCTGCCTAGACCTGGAGACAAGGTACCGAGCCTACCAAAGGGATCGAGTCGTTCTCACTGTTCTCACTTCACCGGTCTTGATACTGCCTTCCTGATATGCACAATCTTCTTGTTCTCACCCTACATCAAGTTGGGTTACCTGCACGAGGCATTCCGCACTACCTATACCCCACGTTCCTGATCTGAGCATCGTTTATGGTTACAGCGGCGGCACCCATCTCAAGCGTCTGTCGGATGCCATCGGTTAGCAATCCCAGGCAGTTTGGTCGCGCGGCCGCAAGGAGGCTGTAATCACATATCACCTGCCTACCTTAGCTGCCGCCCACCTACTACACATCCTCGCATCATGTCTGCCGCGCTTTCGGCACAAATAGGTTGGCAGAACAGATGTGGTACATGAGACGAACTGACTTCCTGAGCGAGAGCACATGTAGCTGACGGTCGATTCCTGTCGCCTTGTGCTCCGAAACTCTTAGCTCCTCCAGCAAACGACCTTACCAGGGTACGTACGCCACCTTTGGGAGACCTATCAAACGAGGTTTACCCTAGAAAGGAGGGAGAAAGCGAATATAGAAGAAAAAAAAGCAAAAACTGGCCGCGACGGACCGTGGGGGCCAAGGAAATAGCCTGGGAAAAGAAACATCTGTGAAGCGGCATTTGGGTCCCGGCTCTATCTACGTTACTCTACTGAATACTCCTTCTTCCTTTTCTTCTTCTTCTTCTTCTTCTGAGGCAACCCGAGAGTCCGTCTCCAGGAAGTCCTACCTTCTCATTCTTCGACAGCAAAAAAGGAGCAAGCGGGGAAGTGCACTTTCCCTCCTGCCTGTACTTTTGCCCACGGTAATCCTTTTCCCCTCGTGAGCCGTGAGGCACTCGCAACGGCCGGTGCAAGCTAGCAGGGGAGAGCCGATGCGGCTCAGAGGGCGACGGCTGCCTCGGTAAATGCAATTGTCTGTCTCCAAGGAAGAGGAAGGAAGCAGGAGAAACCCGCCACATACCTGCACTCACAACACACACATTTGCCAGCCTATCAACCTACTAGTCTCGTTATGACACAACATGTGGACTTTTTATCATATCTCTGATTTTCTTCCCACAAGCAGCCTTGTTGGAGCCAACCAACACCCTTTTTTCTCCCCTCTCCAACCCCAGCAGCACCGCCAATCCTTCTCCTCGACCAATCGCACGGCATTATTCCCAGCCAGGCCTCCAGCTGCGGCTACACTGCACTCACTACATGCAGGGCAAGCGCGCAACACACAAATAGGAACCGGCATTGTCGTTGAAAATCCCCACGTCCACGGTCACATCCCGAGTCGGTCGATTACCCAGCTCACCCCCCTCCCTCCCCTCTAGGGGGAGCGAGTCAATGGCATGAACAACTTGAACGCATAAGCTTAGATAGAACCTTGAGCATCTTGTGCAATATTGCCCTGCTGTCTGTCAAGAATTTGCTTGCCAGTTACCACCGAAGGGCTTGTTTTGCTGCTACGGGGTTCTGCTCACGTTCTACTGGATTCATACGTTGCCAACCTCTACTCACTGTTATCGGAAAGGGGAAACAAAATGGAGTTGGGGTCGGATATAATACACGATATCGTTCATCCCACGGCTGCCTTCTCTGAAGCCGTTCAGGTTCGTGCGAACCATGACGGTGGCGGCGGTTCATTTCAGTTGCCGCCAGCGGGCTGGGAGGCTTCCCAGCTGAACCCCAAGAACCGCGTAGACAGCCTCGAGCATCTTTCGGATCCTCTGTGGCGTATCGATGGCTGCACAGGAATGGGGACCCAATTCTACGTTATTCCGCTATTCCTTCGCTGCGTACCGCCCATGCGCATAGATGCCTTCATTCCAGAGCAGTCAAGTCAGCCGTATGAGATTCGACAGCTGCTCGACTTGGATATGGCCTTCCACACCAAGGACCGAGCTCGGGTTCAAGAACTCAACATATCCAAGCACATACTCCGCGCTTTACAACTTTGGACGAAAGCTCTACCAGAACCTGAAGCACTCTTCACCTCCTTACCATTCGGATCTCGTATCGTATTCAAATCTCTATCTCTGGATATCAGAGCCATGGAGATTGACGTTGCGCCAACTTACTACCTGGAACGACAATTGCTTTCGGCGTCTGCCTTGGCTGATATGTGGGGTACTACAGTCCAACTGCCAGAATGCATCGACATATCCGAGGCGCACGTTGTCGAGCAGATCCATGACAGTGTGTGTCTTGTCCGAATTCATGGTCGCCTTTGGATTCTCAAGACTTTGACGAGTTACACCAAGTACCTGTACCACGAACTAAAGCTGTTGCTGTCAGCGAAGCCACATCCAAACGTTATGTCACGACCAGCCCACCTCGTCACGAAGCGATGCAGCTTTGGTAGCAAGATAGCCGTCGTCGGTTTCACGCTTGAGTATCACCGATATGGTACCATGAGAGACATCGTGCCACTCCAAAGAATCCACAACACGTTTTCCCGCGCTGAGCAGTTCAAGTGGTCCATACAAATTACCTCGGGCGTGCTGCATCACCGCAAAACCTCTGGCACATTTTACCCGGACCTTCGTCTCGACAATGTCGTCATGTCAAAGGATAGAGATGCCATCATGGTCGATTTCGAGCAGCGTGGGGTATGGTGCGAGTTTGCCTCCCCTGAAATCAACGCCATCGAGTACATCCGCTTGCTGGCCACTGACGAGGATATTCCGGACGACGTCAAGGATAAATACGCCGAGATACTGAGGCGCATGTGCCCTGATTTCGAGGCCCTTCAAAACAGAGAGGAGTACACGAACCCCGCCGACGGATACAATATTTGTTGGGCATGCCTCAGTCCGAAAGAACAGGAGGCCGCCGAGGTGTACATGCTTGGAAGGGTATTGTGGTGTATCTTTGAGGGCGCTAGTGCTCCGCAGCAAGCTGCTGTTTGGCAGTCTTATCGATGGGAGGCCGAAGTCGACTTTCCAGCTTACCTGAGAACGCCGCCAAAATTAAGGCCCCTAATCGACCGCTGTACCAGTGGCCGTCGAGCCACGTTGGGGAACCAAATCAGCAGAGATGGCAACAGGCTGGTGTTCAAGGACTACGAAAAAATGGCCGATCCGGGGGACATCCGCACGGCTGCGGCGACGTGGTGGAAGAGAGAAATATCGTGGGCAGAAGCGTTCCTGGCCATGAGAGAGAATTCCAAATCAACTGGGGAGTGGGATGAGAATCACTTTGGCAGACCAAGTCTACAAGAGGTACTGAACGAGCTCAACAAGCTGCGCAATAACATCTGAGTGCCTATACTAGATGGGCGGCGAAAAGGGGGCGACTCTAATCATGTACAACCAAGAGGAAACACGGTTATCTGTCCAAGATGAAAAATGGTATTGTTTTGCAGATCAAGCGAACCCCAAAACGCCGAAGCCGTGACTTGCCCAGCCAAGTGGATATCGCAAGGCTTCGCGTCGAGGAGAAGAATCTACATAGGGGGCAGATCGTCTAAAAGAGTACAAAATGAGAAGAAAAAGTATGTGGAGAGAATGAAAGCAAATGGGAACCATAGCGAAAGCTTTGATTAGGGGAAAGAGTGTCACGGACACCCATAGAAAGTCGAAACCTGGTGGGGAAGCCCGTCCTCGCCATACCCGGAACGTTATCCCGGACCGCCTCTCCCGCTGCCTCGAAGAGAAATCTTTATCCCGCTGCGTCACTTCGTCCTCTTGGATCCCCGGCCATACCCGTGGCCTTGGCCTTGACGCTTTGAGCCCGCACCTGTCGAGGAGGAGGCGCCATCATCGTTGCCGCCGTTGCCGCCACCAGCCCTCCTCAGACGAGAGATGAGAGAGCGGAACTTTACAACGTACGAGGCCGGCGCGCCGTTGATGCCTAGCCGGTCCAAGATGTCCTCGAGGCTATGCAGGAACTGGGCGGCGGCGTCGGGCGGCAGGAGATTTAGGACGCCGAGGACGAAGTCATCGTCACGGTCGCCCACGAGACGGAGGTAGAGGTTCCGGTCCCGGCGGGATGCCGCGGCGGCCGTCGCGGTCCCCCGGGGGCCCACGAAGTCGCGGTTGCGATCGACAACGTCGGCGAGAATGTGGACGAGGGCGCGGGCGGCGCTGGTGCGCTCCCGGGGTTCCAGGGGCCGGTCGCGCTTGAATATTGCGGTGCGGATAAGGCCAACGACGCCAGTGATGTGACGGGCGGCCCAGGCCACATCGGGAGGGCCTTCCGCTGATGCTCCTGCGGTCGGGGGTGATAGTGAGGAGGAAGAGGAGGAGGAGGAAGCCCAGGTGTCCAGCTTACGCAGGACACGGTCGACGCGCCGGGCGAGCTTGCGGAAGGGATCGTTCACGGGGTCGGTGGAGCGTGTCTGGGAGAGGAAGTAGTGGAAGAACTCGTTGTTGTCGAGGAGCATACGGAATATTGTGCCCTCAAGGTCGTGGCGCTTCACGCGCTTCTTGCCCGTGTGCGGCGGGTTAGAGGAGAGATCTGGGCGGTAGCCTTCCGGGGAGCAAGCGGCAACAGCAGAGAGAAGTTCGCGGGCCTCCTGGACACGGTGCGGGTTTGGGTGCTCCTCTGTGTCGCCGTCAGAGTCAGGGTCAAAGCCGGAGTCCTCTGAGCCCTCCTTCTCCGAGTCTGGAGTCACGACATCGCAGCGGAGGCCGTCTGCCAGGACGTCCAGGTGGAAGTCCGAGATGGTCGAGAAGGGATCGCCGATCTCCTCCGGGTAGCCTTCCGTGGTCATGGTCAGTGGAGAGGTCGGGTCATGATCGTACAGTGTCTGATTGACGAGCTGGTCCAAAAGCCAGAGCAGGTGTTTGCAAGGGACGCCATTCTTCTGCTGTTGCTCATAACAAGAGCAACGGGGCGTTGCGAAAGGGCTGTCGGGGGCTCCTATGCGGATGGAGCGGGGCACCATCTCAGTCATCTGAAAGGCGTAAACATCGTCCCGGAGGCGACTGTACTGCAGGGAGAGACGGGGCGGGTCCCTAAAGGCCTCGCGGACGCGCAGGCGGGCGTCAGCGGAGAGCCTGTCGATCCTGTAGATCAGTCGTGAGGGGGATCGGACGACTGAAGGGTCATCGTCGTCCATGAGGGAGGAATCTGAATCCGTCTCGGGCTCGGAGCTGGAGCCTTCGTCATCGACATCGCGATCAGAGGTGATGTCGCCGAGGGACTGCCGGTGCGCTTGGGCTCTGGTTGTAGTAGGCATTTTTTTCCGGAGAGAAAGCTCTCCAAGTCTTGATACAGGAGCGGGAGGTGAGGAGGGAGACATTGGTCAGGCGAAGGAGCAATATAGTTCTATATGTTTCAGGGAGGTTGTGGGCGAAGAAGGGGTCTCCATGGTGATATGACATGTGGTTACTTATAGAGCTCAAGTTCAGATGACAAGGGAGGATGGGAAGGGGGGCGGAGTGAGGCCAACGATGATCAGACCTAGAGGCCCAGAGATCCATGGCGAGTTGGCGAGGTTGGATATGGTCGGGAAACAGGGGTGGTAGTGAAGGAGAGGAAGATGAAGCTGAACAAGACCCGGTCAAGTTCCCGTCTGCGACTGGCGAGCATTCAAGTCCCAGAGGGTGGGCCGTTTGGAGCATGGAAGGGGGAAGGGGGGGTAGCAAGCAGGAAAAACCATGGAAGAAAGAACAGCTACCGTACTTACCGATCTGGCGCCCACAGACTCGTGAGGGCTGGTCAGACCACCTTCTAGAACCAATTCCACTTTCCATTTTCATTTGCCTTTGCGCCTGAACCCTGGTCCGGGGTCCGCCATCTCGGTAACGTGCGAGAATAGGATGGAATGCAGGCATGTGGAAGGTCGCCCAGGCAGGTGCAGATCTAAACTGCCGCGGCATACGCAAACAAGGTCATCTCGGAAGGCGGCGGAAGCTGGCTAAAGTTGGGAGAGAGTTTGAGATTGTGAAACTCCACATCGGGTAACTGCGACGATAGAACTTCAAGGCTCGCACATCGAGGACTTTGTGCGTGGGGCAAGGTTCCGGCCTTTGCCCAGGGTATCGCAACAAGCTACGATGCATGAATAAGAAGGCGATGTCCGGAGAGCTCTTCTTGGGCACAACTCATCAGGCAGCGTACGGCGGGGTGGAGAAGGAGGGCGGTGACATTGCGGCTGTCAATGACAAGTGGTCTTGGGCCCCGGGCTTGTGGTTTGCCAGAGTGCGATGATTCATTAAATTGTTGGTCGATGAAATGGCGCGAAGTCCAAGTTGAGTCGGTAGGGGAGCATAGGTAGTTGCAGTTGCGGTCGATGGTGGACACCCCTTCCCCCTCCCCCTCTCCCCTGCCGGATGAAGAACTTAATGTGGGGTTATTTCGAAGACGGAACCCTCCGCACGGCCGGCGCTAAAGGGATGTTCCCCGTAGCGCTCCCTTGCCCTCCATTTCCCCATCTTCCATTCATTCAGCCTTTTCTGCCGGTTCGCCCACGAAGGGAAGCATCAGCCACCACTCGCAGCCTCAGTACGCCTCCCATTGGCGAAAAGCCGTAATGATGGGTCAGGAGTCGGGCGCCCGCTATCACAGGCGGCCTTCCTCCAACTAGTTTCCTCCCCTTCCATGACTGTTTCCTTTGGGCCGCACAAACGGGCCGCTGGTACCCCACCGGGACTACACCATAAAGGGGAATCACAGCCCCCGAGTCGGCCGCCGAACGGGCCGGCCGGTTATGCGGCCGCGTCGCGGATGGCTCCACTTCCAAGATGACTTCAAGAGAATCGGAGCCTCCTCTGAACGTTCACAGCCTTCTACGGGCCGCAGCGTAGGCCGCATCGAAAATGCGGCCTTTTTCGCTATTGTTGCTATGCTTCCTCCGACCGTCATAACCACCTCACAAGGCTTTCTTCTCTCTGTAGATCCAACCTGTTGGCTATACCGCTCGGGGTGCCTTGCTGCTGGGTGCCAAATGACGGTATGAAGAGGCCTCTGGGTCGTTTGCTCGAGAGACTCGAGCTAGTCGCTGCAGTCTTGGCCTCTCAGCCTCGATGGACATCATCGACCCAAACTTCCTTTTGACGTTCGCGGTCACCGTCCAATCAAGTTGGCCGGCGTCGGCCGACTCAAACCATTGAATCTTCATCCATCTTCTGCGCCTGATGACTGCAGGGGCCTCGACGGACCAACCGACTGTGTTTGCAAGGCCAGGCTTCAACGGTTTTTTGGGGCTGACAACCAGGGCAAAGGGGGCTGTCCCGGGTCATTGGCAAGAGACCCTGCGCGTGTGATGAAAGGGTCATTCATAGTATCGTCATGAGTACTCTCGATATGGCTGCGAGCGCCGAGCCATCGCCAGGGTTAGCGGCCATCGCGCCTGTGTGGCCTGTTCTCGGGGCTCGGCAACCTCTGGAGAGGATACGGGCGTGACGCACGTTGCCCATGGTATCATTCGTCTCTGTGCGAGGTTGCCTGTTGTTGGAGCAAGTGGCTGATTATCATATGACAGACTTCCGACATTGGCTGTCGACGTCTTGGGTGTTTTCGAGAAATGGATCGAGGCTATGCCCTAGTTACTCTCCTTTGCACAACCAGGGAGGGTGACTTCACTTCTCACATAAGATGGCCCTTGCGGAATCAGTTCTCAACAAATATCCTGGTAAAACGCATGCTGGTTCTCTGGTTCGAGCAGCATATATACATGATTGGCATACTAGGTTAGGCAGCAGCTGGTGCCGTTTTCTCAGACGTCTCTGCCTTGTCTCGTCTGAAGAGCAGACCCACACAGGATTGGCAGGACCAGGAAAACGCCAAAGATACCGGGAAATACCTACTACTGCATTCAATGGAATGAGGATAGACCCGAAAGAGAATGCCGTAGAAGTGTGTAGCGCCGTGGCCGCCTCCGCCTTTCCATAGGCCACATATCGGTGTTTGCAAAGTAACATCTGTCATCGCCCTTCCACTATCCGCCTAGGACATACAACCATCCTAATTGATAAACTCGGAGTCTCGTCTGGTCTCTCGGAAAATTTAACAACAAAACGATCGCTCATTGAAACCGTAGCTGCTACGATTATCGAAGAGTATGTCTTTTATGTAGACAAAAGCTTGCAATTCGGAACCCCAGTATTGCAGGATAGTATCAGTTGAACAAAGCTGATATGGCGGAGGTTTACCTCACGAAAAATTTACAAAACACTTGATTTATAAATTCATGATATTACGTCGAAGAATACGAGCTATGCTCTGCTCTATATGTAGGCACAACAGCTCCGTGTGCCTGATTATGACTGCACCAAGCTTTTCTCTCCCCCACTTCATACCTACGTAACAAACGCTTTCCTACCTAGGGTATCAATCGCTAATCCTATGTCGCAAACATCCATTCAATCATTCGAGCTGCTCGGGCTCTTGGGCCCGGCCTCGTCGTCGACATGACCCCTACCCTCGCTGTTTGCGATGGCACTCTGCAACGCGCTTGTCAAGTCGACGTGGAACAGCGGCCTGTTGAGACCGTGAACAACGACTCCCCTCCGTTTCCAACCGGCATCCTTCCGGGAGCTCAAGGAGGCGGGGTCGATCTGATCGTATGCGCTGCTGTCCTTGCCCACTTCTTCGTCCACGGCTCTTGATGACTTGCCGTGGGACGATATTTGCTTCTCGTTGGCCTCCTTCTCCGCCGCAGCGGCGGCAGAGTCCGAGCCACCAATCTCAGCGACGCTGAAGATGGACTTCCACTGGTGCTGTAGACCGTCGCTCCGGTCAACGGGGTAGCCAAAACCAGCGGCGACAAGCGCTCTCTTGGTCCATCTGTTGTTTATGCAGGCAATGTGCCAGTTCACCTTGTCCGGGGCGGCATAGCGATCGAGCTGGTTACGGACATCAATGAGCTGCTGAATCGAAGTCAAGTCAACGTTATTGACGGAGCTGAAGTCGAGGATGACCGCCTTGAGCGTTGGCCTGTTCTCCTCCTCGTGCATCTGAGCCTGCGCCTTCTTTGCCTTGCGCGATGGGCCGGGATCGTTCCAAGGACGGTCACCAAGGCGCCCGTAAGCTTCCATGTTCGTTCGGCGAGTCCGTGCAAAAATATAATCAGTAAGGTATTCAAGGGAATAGCTGGCATTGGGGTAGTTGAAGCCCTCGGAAAAGCGGTAGATGAAGATGCCGGGGTAAGGACTGTCGAGCGTGACTTCGGGGTTGGATCCGTCGCCATGATCAATGGGTAAGAAAACGTTGCGCGCTGCGTTATCGCTAGTGCTGAAGGTTCCGTACTCGCCGATGACTTGCCTGTGGTCCTCGCCGATGACATGGTCGCCTACAACGGAGTGGATTTTGACCTTGCCAAGGAAGCGTCCCTGACCTCTCAATATACGCCATAAAAGCAGCACAGCGGAGATGCAGACGGTAGTATAGATGCCATTCTCGATGGACGAAAAGACTGTGACGAAGACACCGATGAAGAAAATGACGACTTCGAGAGGAGACACGCGCCAAAACTGGTAGACGGTGTTGGGCGGCGTGATCAAGTCTCCGACGGCGTGAATGATGACTGCAGCGAGGGAAGCGCTAGGAATGTAAAAGAACACTGCTGTCAAGGCGTAAATGGCGAGTAGGACAACGAGACCGGTGATGACACCGGCGAAAGGAGTCCTGACGCCGGCTTTGGACTTGATGGCTGTACGGCTGAAGGAGCCCGTGGATGGATAGCCGCCAAGGAAGGGAGCGATGACATTCGTGACGCCGATAGCAACGAACTCCTGGGAAGGGTTGATGGTGTAGTTGTTAACACGACCGAAGGACTTTGAGATGGCAACATGCTCGATAACCAAGACGATGACACTGGCTGGCAAGAAGGGGAGGAAAGCACTAATAAGGTCGGTGTCGATCTTTGGAGTACCAACATTCTGGAAACCTGGGTGACTAGTTAGTCAGGGATTCCATAAGCTTAGTTAGTTTCCGAAACTTACCTCTAGGAACACTTCCCAAGATCTTGAACAGAGGGTGTGACCGCCTGTTCATGTTGACCAACCAGCTGATCATGGTGTAGAGGAGGATGACGAAGACCGTTCGCAGAGTCGAAAGGAAGAAGAAGAGCTTCGACTTCTGGGGGTGTCGCTTCGCGAGCGTCGTGAAGATAGATCGAAGAAGGTAAAGCATCGCAAGGGCGGTAAGGCCCATAGCGGCATCCATCTTCGTCTTGGGAAGGTTCTTGAGAGTGTTGATGAGGACAAGATAGGTGGCATCTCGAGTATTGACGCC